GAGCTCTATGAGAAATACCTTGGAGTTCTGTGAAAATTCTATAAAAAAACTATACTTTTTTGCGCCGATGGCTGATGATAATCATCCAACTTTGTTGTTCGATTCCTAATAAATATTTTGTAGGAAAAAAACAATTTCGATTTTTCTATCCAAGTTATTTTCTAAAAATTTTTTCTATAAAAATTTTTGGGTAGAACCTATCTTGGTCAACTGAGCTGTCTGACTTGTGAGGCAAGCAAGATGGCGTGCAAGTGAAGCACAATGGCTCAGTGTTGCCCAGTGTTCTGGTATCTGGGATGGACATTCATTTCGTGAAAACCTGGATTCAGACGGAATTTACCATTTTAATATGCCTGTAAATACATATTCACGTGTGCGAAAATGGAGACATTTCGAGAGAGTAAAGAAGAAAGCATCTGTGCAAGTTGAAGACTCACGTGAGAACATCTTGGAGAATGGACATTCAGATAGAGACAAAAGTACTGCAAGTGAGGTTAGTTTCTCAAAGGATAATGAAGTGAATACGAGTGAGGAAACAATTGTGCCACCAATGCTCAGTGCTATTGATACTTCAAATGATCATGGTGATTTTCGTGATGATGCTGATATTTCTGGTGATGTTGGGGGTGATGTTGAGGATGCTATTGGTAATCCGAATAATGAACTGAATGAAGACCTTGAAGGCCGGAATGTCAACTATTGATAGATCAGAACCAATTGGAATGGAGCAAAAGATTCATAGTTGGGCCGTGAAACACCGTAAGGATATGATAGCTCAAGCCATTACCGATTTATTGCTGATATTGAGGACTGAAGGATATCAATCATTCCCCAAGACTGCGAAAACATTCTTAGGACCTACTCACTGCAGAAAGCTACGAAATATGCCAGGAATTAAGAAGTCCATTGGTGAATTCATATATTTGGGAATATCCACAGGGCTCAAAAATGTCATTTCTTCAGATATTTATCGAGAAGAAAAAATCTCTTTGTTGATCCATATAGATGGTATGCAAGTTTACCGTAACTCTAAGAAAGAGATTTGGCCTATTGCTGTGAAAGTTTATCATCCAAATTATGTAACGAAACCTTTTGTGGCTGCAATTTACTGTGGAGATGCGAAGCCATCTTCAGTGGAAGAATTTATGCCTGATTTCGTTGAAGAGTCGAATGAGTTGGAAGAAAACGGTGTGTGGATTGATGGGAACTAGTATGCTGTTGAGGTACTAGCTATCGTAGCTGATTCTTCTGCTAGAGCATTTCTCAAAGGTTGTAAAGCTCCTGGAGCTTTTTGTGCCTGTGAGAGATGTGTCACCCGAGGTGTTACAGTGGGCCGTGGAAGTCATGGAACGGGCATATATCCAGAAACCAACGCAGGAGTACGCACCGAACAGTCCTATGAACTACGACTCCAGCCAGAACATCATCATGAAGGGTGTGTCTCTCCACTGCTTTCCATGAATAATTTTGATCTTATCAAGCAGGTACCTCTTGACGTCATGCACTTACTTTATTCGAACAATATGAAATGGCTTTTGGAGAGGTGGACGAAGAGAAGTTCAGCCCAGAGAATCAAGTTAGCTGATCTGCGTCGGCTTGATGTGATAATGAAGAAATTAAAAGAAGATATTCCATGTGAGTTTCAACGGAACATATTTGATGTGTTTAATATTGCAAGGTGGAAAGCTTCTCAATTTGAATTTTTCCTTAATTATTGCGGCATCATCGTGTTCCAAAAAATTCTACCGAAGCCTCTCTATCGCCATTCCTCATTACTAGTATTTGCCTCTTGCATCTTAAACAGCAAAGAATTAATCGTTGACTATAGTGGTTATGCTGGACTCTTGCTAAAGCATGCTTTTGAGACGCTCCCTCTTGTTTATAACGATGAAGGGGCTCAAGTCTTGAGTTGGCATAACATTCTCCACGTTGCTGACGATGCTGTACACTTTAAAATTCCTCTGAATGAACTCTCAGCTTTCTGGGGGGAAAGTTATATTGGTTTATTCAAAAGATTTGTCGATTCAGCTAAAAAAGCCCTCACGCAAATTACGAATCGACTGAGAGAACTTGAGTGTGGAGAAAGGATGAAAATTGAGAAGAGGCATATCTTGAGTGACTGGTGCATTTGCAAATCCCGAGAATGATGAAGATTCACGATGAGGAGTATGTGACATCGAGCACCATGAAAATCCATGGCCTCACACTGACAACAAAACATCCAAATAATATTGTTCTTATGGATAACGGGAAAGTTTTTATAATATCGAAAATTCTCGTTAAACCTGGAAAACCACAAGTTTTTGACAATCTCAATGGTATCTACATAGTAGGAGAAGAGAGCAGTAGAGACGAGGCTTTCGGTTACCCCGATTCTTCAATTAATGTAGGAATAATCCTCGTCAAGGAATTTTCGGGTAGAATGCAATGCCAGAGGGCCATCAAGATCAAACACAAATGTGCTTTATTAAATGTTGCAGAACGTCAATATGCAATCACTCTTCTCCACGATTAAAAAACCGTAGTGAAGTTATCGCGCTATGAACTCGAGGTTTTGTTTTGTGCAGGTGAGTGATTGAGTCAGAGTCGTTGGTGGTCTCCTTCGAAAGTCATTAGTAATAATCACGTTTCAATGGAAATTTGATGCTGAATAGACGAGTGAGAGAAAGCAAATAAGGACGTTGACGATAAGAGTCATGTTTATTTTATTGTGCATTCCCATTACATTTTTCTTCTGCTGAATTCTTACAAAAATGTACGAGAGAGATTTTAATTGTTTCTTGAATGAATATTACGTGAATCTGTGTTTTTCTTGTCAAATAATCGGTCCTGTTGTCATGTAACTCGGACTGACTTGATCGATGCATCGACTTAGTTACAAAGCTGGACACAGTGCCGTCGCCGCTGACGCAACGTGAACGCAAGAGTGTGAGACGCGGATCGCTGGGTTTTATGTTAACGGACTTCTCTCCATTGTTGCTGTTATAGACAGCAAAAAATTAGTAAAAAAAAATTTCTCACCATTAAACGATTTTTGTTTATTCATGTCGGGAGTGAATGTATGATATTTCCGGAGTATCTTCTGGAAATAATTGTTTTCCCGATCGAGTGGAGGAGCTTGTTTCGCATTTAACCTCTCATCATTCCTCGTGTCATTGGCTGATCAATCCGATTCTTTTAATTGACTTCTTCAAACTAGTTAAAATTACTAATCAAAACAGGGAAGATGAGCACCATCTCGATCATCTGTGATGCTACCGTGGCGTAATACAACGTAAACGTAAGACCGACGTGCAGTGAGTATGTTTATCATTCCTGATATTAACCAGTCATTGCATTGAAAAAGTGGAAGTGTTTTTTGAATTTCCAGTCGAAAGTGGAAGTGTTTTCTGATTTTTTTGCATAAAATATCTCAAATTGAATAATTTCGGAATTTGCCCTCCACACACTGCCCGGGAAGGCCGACGTGGAGAGGCCGGCGTCGTGAGAGAGACAGACATCTGTAGCGTCAGAAGTACACCAGCATGAAATGGCCGCAGTATGATTTTGTGGATTCGCATATGATCGAAAAAAGTGTCGATTGCTCTTAAATCAATGATAATTCGTAGGAATTACGGGTAAACGTGAATAACAATGAAGCAGTGAAGGACTGTGTACGGATAATTATTGCGTCAATCCGCACATCGTTGATATCATCAGACACCGCGTCCTAACCTAAAATGTCTCAATCAACCGAACCTCCGTCTCGAGATCCAGAAAATCCCGGAGAACCCCTGGCAGTCATAAAATTTCTTGGAAAAAACTCGCGAGGACAGGCGATAATTGATTTAGTGAGGAAATAAGAAGAACACCTGTAAATTCCCCCCTGAGGAAGAGTACCATCTATTGGATGGATATCTACGGAAATGTCAATCACCGAAGAAATCTTGGAAGAGTTATCCCTTTATATTCATCACAGGAGCAAGTAAATCAATCTATTAATCCAAATGAATCTGTTGAAATTCTCATCGACCATAAAATAAATCAATGATGATAAAATTGATCATTCTCGTTTTACAGAAAATGTGAAGCAGGGGCGTAGGAGATTGAAGAGAGCACAAGTTACTCGCAATTGCGAAACAACCGATGGTGAGAGTGCACCTGTGGTGAGGCAGCCCCAGACTCTCACGAAGACACAAGGACAAGATGTGCTCAACACAAATATCCCCATGCATCGTGAAAAACGAACTCCAAACACATCAAAAGGTATGGGATATGCACTCTAACAAAAATATTATTTATGAGTGCCTTATTTTTCTAATTATGGAATTTAATTGTTCGATAAAAGCCATCATTTTACCAATTTAAGACTAATTTGTATTTTTAACTATTTAAATTATTTCTGAGCCCATGTGGACATAGCTTGTGTATTTGTCTTCAAATACCGACTCAAACGAAAATCGCAGTAAAGAGTCATATGGAAAGCTATTGTTGAAAGAATAATTCGTCAATTGATCAGTTGATAAATTCAGTGTTTTAATAAAAAATATATTTTCGTGATTCAGTTTAAAAAATTACAAATAAAGTAAAAAGTTTAGAAAATTCAGATTTATTCTGGTATTCTAACTGGAAAATTCGGTAGGTACACGATCCACGGTGAACCGATGACTTAGGCGAGTGGTTGTGAGTAACAGTGACTCTGAGAGCGAAAGCTCCGACCTTTCCCCTCAAAAGGCGCAAGCGGATAAAATCTCGAGGGACCTAGACAATTCTTCTGGAAGGACTAAGATCATGAGTGGGTCAAAATCTTCCAAAACAGGTAATAGGTGCTGCACCGAGTATTTTTTCCAGCATTCTATATATTCTCTATTCTAAACTCGGGTTGATTAGATTATTCAATCATTTTGTACTGCACGAAGAAAAACTTTAGTTTACTTGAAAATGTTTGAATAATTCTAATATAAAAGGATAGCGAGCAAGCAGGAGAATTTCTATTTTAAATGATTTCCACGATCGAATCCAAAGCTTTTACGAACAGCAAAAAATCTCATGAGTCTGTCGAATGATCTCGAGAGTGATGACCTCGAAACAGATGATCTCTTTCCTATGAATCCTTCACCAATCCGATCATCACCCAAAAAATCTAATAATCCGGAAAAACACTCGGAAAATCCACTAGATTTGACACCATCCCCACCAACTATTAATCAACGTACAGGTAAAGTTTGTTTGTATATTTAATTATCTTTAGTTGTAGAGCTGATGCTGATGATCAATTAATTTACGCTGATGGTACTATCTACAAATTAATTTTTTTGTTCGTTTCAATTTCTATAGATAAAAGGAAACGAACTTCATCTTTTGATGGATGGCGATTCCCTGGAGGGAATGATGATTGGATGGATGGCATTATTAGTCCACCCAAGAACCCAAAGTCTTCACGGTCTGAGCCACCTATTTTCAAAAAGAAAAAAACATTGACATCTCCAGGAAGCCATCCTGCGTAGGCGTACATTTGAATAACCATCCAATGGTCGATGCCGCCTTTCAGAAGTACTTTGATGAAAAATTGGAGAAGAAATTGGAAAGCCTGAGGCAGAGGTTGGCCTACGACTTTCGAAAATCAATCAATGAATTGAAAAGTACCATCGTTGGTACAAATCTACCTCCAGCAGCTGGACCAAGCTTGATTGAAGTACAAAGACGTTTATCTGTGCCATTACCACTCGAGACTCTAGAGTAATTTATAAACTATGAGGCGGTGTTGGAAATAGACGAGAATGAAATGCAATCTCTGGTAATTCATCAGATATTGTTCATTTCATTAATTCCCGTTGGCGTCAACTTATCTATATCTCTATTTTTCTCCTTTCAGCATCTTTTTTTCAAGGTTTTGATAAGTAACCAGAAAAATGAAAAAACGTGTTTCCACGGACATGTCTGCTATGGTGAAGAAGGTGGTGGAGCTGGACTACTCTGCCTATGGGAGGGAAGCTAAAGGGCAAAAGAAAAAAGATTTCAGCGCAACTAGAGTGTGTAAAGTTCTGATAGATGTCATCGGTGAGTTGTTTAAGAACGTCAATCAGGAGCGAGGAGACCATCAAGATCAGCATAAACAAGACCAACTCTTATGAAGAAAGATTCAAGTGCTGTGATTTTGATATCGTCATAATACTGATTACTTTCCATTTTACATATTTAGCCATCTATAATATTTTTCAGTATTAGAGTTGATATTTTTACTCGAGAGAAATATTTTACTGACTGAATAAGTAATATTTTGACTCGGAACTATCATAGCCGACTCAGCACTTTGTTTTTTTTATCTAATTATTTTTACCTAATTCTGATGTTAACAGGAATTTATGACTGTTACTTACGGTTGAGTTTTCGTACTTGAATGACTAAAAAATAGCGGAATATACTTTTCACAATGAAATTCCCATAAGAATTTGAAGTTCAGAGGCCGGGACGATATACTGATAGTTGATTAGGTTAAATTTAGCAAAGAATGAGAACGATATTATGAAAATAATGATGAGGAATATTTGACAAAAAAAATTATTCATGTTTTCAAGTAATGTGTAAATAATACTTGAATTACTTTCTCATTATTCTCTTCTTTTAGACTCAAGCATATCCATGAAAATTTTGTTTGGTCCGATTTCCTTTTTTTTTATTTGTGGATTTTTTCACGCGGAGGGATATTTTTCGAAATTATCGCTAAGCTGCCAATCTCAGGAAAATACAGAGTGAAGCTGCAATCATCAGGCGTTCAGCAGTATGCTAGCGCTATATGATATTTTTTTGTGAAATACTTTACATCTAGAACATGGGAACTACAGAATTTAAATACTAGAATATAAGAATGCATGGAATTTAATTTTTCTTTTCAACAAAAAGGAATGTCCTGGAGTTGTCTTTAGCTTAAACGAAATATGCGAGTGAGAGTTGAATACATTTGTAGTTTTTAAAGAAGTTTCTAGTGGAATTCATGTCTGCCATTGAGAGTTGTTTTCCGGTAATTGAGGAAGCAATCATTAGATTGCGACTTGACAATAAAATCAACCCAGACAATAATTTTTTATGACTTTATGTTCAAAACCAAACACTGTATGCAAGTTGAATTCAGTATATGCTCCTGTTATAATGATAATTACAATAGAAGTTATTATAAAAGAATAATAAATAGTGAATGGCACAGAAAATAACGATAAATAACAAGTTCATCGTCAACATTGTTAAACTGCATTTGTAGTCAGCTCAAGGAGGAAAAATTATCCCCAAGATTATCCTTAAAAAGAATAAATGTAGACCCGTTGTATTATCCAATCGAATTGGCTAAATCTGTATGAGAAGAAAGAATATTTTCGTATAAGTGAATTTCTCTATATCTGATTTGTGAACTGAAATTTGCAATTTATAGTATAATTTTCGTATGTAAGGATAAGATTCTGGCAATGTTTGTGTTGATAAATGCTTAATCATTAATAAATTACGTGTTCTAATTTCCACTCATGTTTACTTCGTTCCGATTTATATTTAAATTAATAATTGATCAATTGATTGAAGCCCGGTAGAAGACCGGGTAGAGCCTGGGGAAACAATGGGTTTAGGTCTGGCAGGAAGTCTGTGCCAACTTTGGGCCGAGGATCAATTCCGAATACGGCCAGAGTTTGATCACCGAAGTATGGCCAAGGTTAGACGCCAGGCCTGGCCCGATGTTATCATTCCAGGCTCCAACCAAGTCTGGCGCGATTGTGGCTGAGTACTGGTCCCTGAACCTTGGTAGCACGGCCGCCGAACTTGGGCCAAACCCGGCCCATTTCCCATTTCGTACGTGGGATAAATCACTTATTTTTGACCCTATATACTGTTTCTTCACTCTTTTTTACTTTTACTAGCGCCGCCGCGGCCGCTTGCGCAAGCAAGACGTTGATGCTCTTTTATTATGCCTTTTTTTATTGTTCCTTTTAACAATTAATGATTCATCATCGTTCCATTATGCTGAGTGTTAACACGCACCATAAAATTTAATAGAAATTCCTAGCGAATTCGCTAGACAATTGTATCGTATTTCTACTGATCTTTTTATTAGTTTTGGCCGTTTCCATCGAAATGTTCAATAGAACATATTCTATAGAAAAAATCAATAGAATTCTATTTTTCTATACAACCTATTCTATAGAGATATTTTCTGTGGAATTTCTTTGGCTCACATTCTCCAAGTTTTTTTTGTTTAATTTTCTTAATGAAAAGAAAAGAAAAAATAGAGTGAAAGAAAATTGGAAAATTTCAGCCGAGGAAATTCCATAGAAAATATCTCAATAGAATAAGTTGTATAGAAATAGTATATTTCAGCACATGTGGGACAATATCGTCTTTAACGTGTGTGGGGTTTACAGCATGAGCCGAAGGCGAGTGATGTAACCACACACGTTAAGGACGAAATTTCCCAACAAGTACTGAACAAAATTTTGTCACGAACCCTGAAACCGGCTGAATTAGACACGAGGCGCGAAGCGTCGAGTCAATATTTTCTATTGAGCATTTCAATAGAAACGGCCAGAAGTTAATAGAAAGTTCAATAGAAATCCAATAAAATTGTCTAGCGAATTCGCTAGGATTTTCTACTGAATTTTTTCATATGTGAAGATTAATGGTAATAATGCGTCTCGGTTAATGAATTGTTTAATCCTCTATTGTGAAAGTCTACCTGAGTAGTACTTTTTTTGGGAATTTTTGTGCAATTGGAAAAATTCGAGGTATTTCTCAAATTGGTTCTCCTTTCTCGTTTCAATCAGAGTGCAGTAGTCAGTCACGTGACTCCTTCACATCAGTTTTATTCAGGAAATTCCGCCTTTTCTTTTCAATTGTTTTCCCATTGTTTATCCAAAAATTCTAGAATATTTGAGAACTTTATGAAATTGTCTTTAGAAAACTTCATAATTGTGTTGAATTCTTTGGAAAACTCCCCATTTATCCTACATTCGGATGAAAAAGCCAACGATTCTCTAATTTTTGAGGGAACTTGCAAACTTCCTTGAAGTTTCTGTAAATCAGCCTCTATTCACTTTTTCGAAGATGAATATTATAAAGAAGCTGAAATATATATTCATTAATGAATTAATTAATTTCTGAAAATGTTCTCTTAATGAGTACTCACATCGGGAATAGGACCTAAGGAAAATGTTCATATTCCTAATGTCAATAGTTTCGGATTTGCATTATTATTTTAAGCCTTTTCACATTTCTAACGCAATTGCGGCCGTGAAATTGGTGGACCTTTCATTATACCCTTTTTTCCGTGTCAGATTCAATATTTCTTATTTCGATTCATTGTTAGCTGTGAAATTTATTCATCAGCTGTGAAATTTTCATAATGCAATGAATGATTTGCACATGTGGTAATTCCTATGGTCATTGAATGAGATTTTGATCATAATTACAATCCAATTTCTTCTTGAACATAATTCAGAGTAAAGTGCTGGAATTCAATGTTTGGTAATACTCTGGTAAAGGTGTGTGCTAACACTGCTATAATTTTTTGAATTCAGTTCACTCGGTAGTTCAATTAATCTGCTGTTTATATTATCAATACAATTTCGTGCTTAGAATATCGTCACCTCATGTTTTTAACACCGAATAAAAAATTGAAACTTAAAATGACAGTTTGACTTCTCCATCCTTTCTCATGAATTTAAAATTCATGTTAATGGTTCAGATAATATTACGTAAGTATAATCATTTTTGTTCTCTGCTGTTATGGAATATTGAGTCCTAGCTTTTTATTCATAAATAGAATTTTTTAATTTGGATATTATTATTATTCATGCAAATTAAAAAAATTGATCATCACTTTCACTGTGTTGCATTCAGATTCTCCTATACTTAACGTAAAAAATGTCAGATAATCTGATAATTCTGGCTATTGATTTTAATCAACGTTATTTGGAGAAAATTTTAGTAAACTCAACATTAAGAAAATTGAATCATTCTATTTTCCTCTGACCTAAACGATTTGGATAATTATAATTGGTTTATCAATCGAAAATACAGAAAAATTAGGTACAGAATATTCATGTCTTGAATCAAAATTTGAAAGTAACTTTCTATCTTCACGCTGTTGAGAAATATTGAATACCGTTTAATTTTCAGTAGAATTTTAATTTTCATGAATTTTCCCTCTCAAACTGAATTAAATGTCTCTGTCCTAAAAATTAATACTGAACTGTCCATGAAATTTAAATTTTTTTTCACCAGTAGACTAATGAAATGATTGAAAAATCGCCATTTTCAGAGACTGCGAGGTTTTTTCATACAAATAATTCTATAATAATCCATTTTACATTCTAAGAATAATTTTTCCTGAATTGTAACGAATTTTTCCGATTTCAGAACTTCACCAAAAAACTATTTCATGCAAAAAAATTATATTTTTGGAAGGTTGAACTATTTCCATTATTCATTCCTAAGAAGGGAATGTTGAAAAAAGCAAGTTTGTGGGATTCCCTTCGAAAACCGCTGCTAATCCATGCTTTATTTTCGATCTTCTTCTAGCCAATTCAATAATGATTGAAAATCTTTACATAAAAAGTAGTCCGACTTTTTTTTTCATGGAGAAAATTCAATATTCTTTGATTTTGTGGTATAAAGTATTGACTTCATTAAACAAAACCTCAAAAAATAAAAATCGAATAAAAAAATGAAAATCGAATATTTTTTAGATTTCCTATTTTTTTTATTCCATTATCGACATTTAAGTTTATCTAAGTATCAATCAGTCAGTCTTATTAGCTCTTAACACTTGTCACCAAAAAATAATTTTTCATTCCAGTAATTGTAAACAAATCCTTGTGTGGAAAATATACAGATGTATTCAATGTATGTATTAGGTGTATAAATTAATTCTC